GGCATATGGGGCTGGCGCCCTACTCACTGAGCCACAGGCGCTGCCTATTTTCCAACTTTGTTGTAATAAATTCCATCTGTTGAATGCGGAAGCAGATATAAGAGTCTAGCTCTCTTTGATTAAGCCAAACTTAATATAAGAGATATACAAAAACAAAAAGTATTTATTTATTTTTATTGAGACACAGTCTCACTTTGTGACCCTTGGTAGAGTGGTGTGGCATCAGAGCTCATAGCAACCTTCAATTCTTGGGCTTAAGCGATTCTCTTGCCTCAGCCTCCCAAGTAGCTGGGACTATAGGCACCCTCCACAATGCCCCACATTTTCTTTTATGTAGAGATGATGCTCTGGCTCAGGATGGTCTGGAAATCCTGAGGTCAGGACCATATACCCGCTTGGGCCTCCCAAATGCTGTGATTATAGGCGTGAGCCACTGTGCCCAGCCAAAAAGTTTTCTTTCTTTCTTTCTTTCTTTTTTTTTAATTAAAAATAGTATTATTAACAAATTTATTTTAAAGGAAATAGATATTTAAAATTTTTCAGTATGGTAAATTTTTTTTGAGATAGTGTCTCACTCTGCTTCCCTGGGTAGAGGGCCATGGCATCATAGCTCAGAACAGCTTTAAACTCTCGGGCTCAAACTCTTGCCTCAGTCTCCTGAGTAGCTGAGACTACAGAGGTCCTCCACAATGCCCGGCTAATTTTTCTATTTGTAGTTGAGACAGGATCTTGCTCTTGTTCAGGCTGGTCTCGACCTCATGAGCTAAAGCAATCCACCTGCCTCAGCTTCCTAGAGTGCTAGGATTACAGGCATGAGCTACTGTGCCTGGCCAGTGGTAAATATTAATACATACAACCCATGCTAATGAAAGCGCTTTGGCCCCTCATAATTTTTAAGACTGTAAAGGGGCCTTGAAATCAAATAATTTAAAAACTGCTGGCTTAGATAGATTTCTTTCTTTATGAACAGTCTGTAGGAAAGGGATTGCTCCAAGTCCCCTGAGGGCGTTGTGATAGTGCCTGGTACATAGTGGATGTTAAGTAGAAATCTGAACATAGGCAAGAAAATAGAAAGTAGTTTTATGATGTATATAGAGTTTAAAGAGTTGGTTTTTGATGTGGATAACTTTCTGACTCCATATAGATAAGAAACCTGATCGGGAAGAAATTCAGATGAGCAATATGGGATCAAACACAAAATCATTAGGTAGGTGATTAATTCCTGCCTAAGGATGTAGAGTAACATTACACTGGGCTGAGGGCACTAGTGCTATAATTTTTTTCTAATACCCTCACCATTTACCATCCTTTGAAAGATCCCACATGCTCAGAAGTTTTCAGAAAATCTTCCTATGCCTCTCTGATTACAGAAGTTGAAGTTTGTGTCTCTAAACTTACAGCCCACCACAATCTGACCTCAGTTTCCATCTCTGTCTTGGAGTTTCCATCTCACTGTCCACTCCATGTCAGCCTACCTGGTCTAGTTTTTATTTTGTCTTTACATTCTGTGTTCTTTAAATTTTGCTTAATACCTACTTAGAATGTTTTTCCTATTTGCTTTTCTAAATTCTCTTTATCCCTAAAGGCCTAACTCAAGTCTTGTTCTCCCTTGTCAGGTCGTCCTTAACTATCACAGCACCTGACATTCTCTCTTCTCTTAATTCCAATGCCCTACAGACAGATCTCTTCAGTTTGGCTTTATTATAGTATGTCATAGTCTGAGTGTTTCATGCATAATGTTTTCCCTCTAATAGGGAACACATTGATTCAAGTTCTTTTTAAGTTAGGGATCATCAGATTTTAATGCTTTTCTGGAGCATTTGGAAAAGTTCAGTTCCTAGCAGAGATACCTAATTCACACTTAATCTCTTTTTTTTATTTTGTTGTACATAAGAAGGGAATGTCATGTTTCTGTGTATTTTTTCACTAGATAACAACTATTCCACATTGAATGAGAGAGGGGACCACAATAGAACACTGGATCGATCTGGGGATCTAGGTGATATGGAGCCTTTGAAGGGAACGACACCCTTGATGGTAAATTCTCTTTGTGTACTGTTGTCCATCTAAGGCTAGTTCTATTTTGAAGTGTATGTGATTTGTAAAGTAGCAACAAAAGTACAGAGAGAAAGATAGCATCCTTTTCTGGTAGGGATTTTTAGGAAAAAGTAGGTGTTTTGACTCATGTTGGGTTGTCTTGGGCCATTATTCTGCAATGTTTGAGATGAAGAAGTAATCTGTAAACATGTTACTGATATGACTAACACTGATTGATCTATTTTCATATATTACCTTCTTCCTATCCCCCTGTTTATAAATGTTTTGCCCTTCTCTTACTGTTATATCTTGTTCTGTTTGAGTTTACAAATTTTGGGGTTTTCCCCAGGCCTGGCACACACTCAGTGAGGTTCCTATCTCTTTACTAATACTAACAAATTGCATGTGTTCACAGCAGGACGAGGGGCAGGAATCTCTGGAGGAAGAGTTGGATGTGTTGGTTTTGGATGATGAGGGGAACCAAGTGTCTTATCCCCCCGTGGTATGTCCTCTAGTCACCCTTAAGATCATCCTTGAGGAAGGTGGCTCCTGTGTGCCAGCAGTTTGCCAATCATGCTGATCTGATCAGGCCAGAGACGCTAGTCTCAGCCATGTGGGCTCGGGAAGTTCTGCTTCTGTGATTATTACCTCTTAAGAGTCTGGGACCTGCAGCTGGTGGTCTGATTCTCCCATACATGCTGCTTTACTTCTTCCAGATTTGTTCAGCTGTGTATGCTGGGTCTTCTTATTCCCAACCGTATTAACATCCTCTTTCTTTTTTTTTCTTCACAGCAGAAGATTTAGCACCACTATCTCCGCTCCATCTGGGCTTATGATACATGTACTTTTATTTTTTGGTGGTGAAATGGACTGATGATTTTCTCTTTCTTCGCTGGACTGTTGTGCCAACTGCCAGGCTGCCACCTGCCCTTATAGCCCTAAGTGGCTATCTTCTTTCCATCAACTCCCAACTTCTTCCAGTCAAGTTTGATTGTCCTGCTCCCCACCTACCCCAATTTCTCCCAAGAAGCCTGACTCAGTTATTTGCATATCTCGAGAAACTGCTGCAGATTAGCTCTTTTTGCCAGCTCTCCCTGGAACTCTTGTGGAGGGAGGGGGAGAATGGGAATCTTCACTGGAAGCTGTGGGAAGACTTGGAAGTTATATGCTATATATGCAATGTCCAGCAATCTGATAAACTGATGATTCTTAAGATTTTTTTCCTAGTGGCAAAGGGACTTTTTCTTTTCTTTTGAAGAAGGGGAAATGTAAGCTTTTCCCTAATTCCTAATAGCCATTTTTGAAGCAAAGAAGGCTGGCAACTTTGGCACATTCCACCTGGCAAGGGTTCTTAAGTACGTGAAGGTCTCTTAGAATTGGGATTAAGAAACTTTGCTCTCCTCAACTCTGAGGCAGGGACTTTCAAGGACCTACAGACTCCATCTCTTCCACAATCCTCATGCCAACCCTGGGCTGCTGCTGCTGCCCCTTACAGAGGCTGTCCTTAATCCTCCTCTCCCACCCTGTGATATGTCTGCTGACTTGGCCTCGCCATTTGCAAAAGGCTGTAGGAAGAGGAGAATGTCAAGACTTTTGGTTGAGAAGGAGCAGAAAAATGTCTTTTGAGAAGAGGAACTTCTAGGAAGAGCCTAGTAGGAATGTACAGGAACCAGTTAGTCTGAAACTGGCAGGAAGCTTCGAAGCTGGCTTCCCCCCACCCTGTTTCTCCTTTTCCTACCCTTACAGGCCTGCCCTCCCCTGTTTCCGTCCTGGATTGGTTGGCCAACTGAAGAACTTGATGTATATAACTCCCATCCCCTTTACCCTGATAAGGTGGGGATTGCCCTGGGCTTTGCCTATTCTTTGTGCCTTTGGCCTTGGGTGCATCTCCTCCTTCCCTTCCATGTGCCTTTCTTTGCCTCTGCAGTCTCATTTCTCATAATTTTGCAAATTATATTTTGTTGCTTTCTTACCCACTGTTGCCCCTCAATAGCAGAAAGAAGAGGATAAGTGACCTAGAGAACCTCAGATTCTCCACTGGGGATTGATGTCGCCTCTGATTTTAGCCATAGCCAGCTTTTGCTCAATAGTGTATGGTTGGGATTTTGCAAAAATGTTATTTGGATGAATCTCAAAGTGAGGTTGGTGGGAGGAATGAGTGGTACAACTCTTACTCCATAGGTGCCCAATCATTTACCAGCGTCACTGAAGGGGTTATACAGGGGAGCAGTCTTTCCCCAATTCCTTCCCTCCCTCCCCCCCCCCCCCATCCTCTTTCCCTGTCAATGGCACCTGAAGCCCTGTCTTTGCTCCCTTCCCCGTCCCTGCCTCTCCCCCTCCCCCTCAAGTACTGCCCACTCTCACTTAAGTGTATATTATTAACAGGTTGGGCTAGAGGAATCAGCTGCTATGCGGGTTGATTTTCTTTTTCTTTTCTTTCTTTCTTTTTTTAATATTTTTCCTTAATTTACCTTCTCCCCTTAATCTAAAAGCTCTATTCCATGCAACTGGAATTCTATGTCCTACTCTTGCCCTTCCCTTATATATTGAGGCTATGGGGTTGGAGAAAAGTGCACAACCCACCTTTCCCATGCATTAAAATTCCTTATTTACCTTTTTTCCCATCCCATTTTCCCACTCCTATCCACCTTTTCTGGCAAAAAGGAGCCTTTTGCTCTCTGTGACTGTAAAAGCATACTGCACAGGGGAAACTGTCCCCATCCAGACATGGCTCCACTCTTGGCTTCTCTTGTCCTCTTCTGCTCTTTTCCTGGTGCTCTTTTTTTTCTCTCTCGGTGGGGTGTGGGTAATAGAACAGCCGTGGGCTTTTGGGGACCTTTAACTTTTTCTTTCATTTATAAAAACACTAAACATTCAATTCCAGAGAACCAAAAATCCCACCTTCCCACCGAACACTACTAAGGAGCATGTCTTCTGCTCCATTCGTTTCCTCTTTTTCTTTCTCTCTTGTTAATGCTTTTAAAAATAAATGAGTTTTTTATATAAATAAAGTTTTTAAAGTGTGTATGTGTAGGGAGTCTGTGTCATTTCTTCACTTGGAGCTGTATTTCTTCCCTCTTTCATCTTGGTTACTTATGTATCAGTGTCCTTTTTCTTTCCAGAGCAACCAGAAGGAGGTTATACCAGGATTTATTTTGAGTTCAGCCCCAACTTTTCTGAAATATTATCCCTTTTGTGAAACACTTTCCCCCCCAAAGAAAAGAGTCTTAAAAATTAAATGTGGCTGAAGTTGAGCATGAGGAACTGACTTAGAGATAAGAAACTGAAGTATGAAGAATTAACTTTCTTAGTCACTGGGATTCTTTTGCCACATTTGACAAAACTAAAATAAAACCTGCTATAATACATGGCCCTCTAGAACTTAACATGGGCAGATTAGAAGCTACCAACCCCAACTGCTATCCTCATAAATACAAAAATGTGGAGTTGAAAGCCCTGTGGTGTATGTAAGTACTGATTATTTGGGTCATGGTGTTGCTTCTCAGGCTACATGCAACTTTTTTTTTTTTTGAGCCAGAGTTGCTGTCCAAGTAGCTGGGCCTATAGGTGCCTGCCACAATGCCCTGCTATTTTTTTTT